CAATTCCTAGCAACCCTATACATATATAACAAAGTAGGACGCTGCCCCACAGAGTTCCTAGGCTGGAATCTTTATGGGAGCAGATGACAAGGATTCCCCCCTCCCCTTGAGCCAAGGTTAGAAAAGAACCACTGATCAATGTTTAACCAATGCACCACCAGGGCAAACGACAGAATAACAATATTAAAGTCCAGGATCAGCAAAAATGAAGGGCACCCCCAATGGTGTGATCTGTTTCCAAAATGTCATAGTTACAAAAATTCAATGAGGTTCTACTCCGACACATAAGGCGATCACCTCAAGCTGGAATCTATTGCATGGTAACTGCTGTTATTAGGTGTCAAGTAGAAGTATGACTCTCTGCGATGCCATGAACAACAGATCTGAATCCCGTCCCATCCTGTGCCATCCTCTTCCTGTCTGACACACTTAAGCCCACTGCTGCAAGTCACTATGTCAATCTGCCTTGTTGAGGGTCCTCCTTCCTTTCACCTTTCCAAGCAAGATGTCCCTTTACAAGGTATAACCCCTCACCATTCTTGCCTCTAACGCTGCATTTTAGCTACCCTTTCTCCAAGACATATCTCTCCAAGACATATCTGTTCTTTTGGAAGCCGAAGGGATGCAGTATTCTTCTCCAACACCACATCTCAAAGGCATCAATTCTTCTCCTGTCATCCATACTCATTGTCCAGCTCTCAGACACATAGAAAGTGACTGAAAAATCATGGTTCATGTCAGGTGCACACTGGTCTTCAAACTGGTATCATTGCCCCTCCGTACTTTGAAGAGTTCTCCTGCTGTCAGACAACAGCTTCTTAGTCTAGGTATAGGTTTTGTATCAGTAACGTTCTGGGATTTCCATTGTTCTCAATGTTAACCACGGTTGTTATAATCTACACAGTCAAATATCTTTGCATTGTCAATTAAACACAAATAAAACATTCTTCCAGTATTCTCTGCTTTCTGCTAAGATCCACCTGACATCAGCAATAATTGCCACAGTCTCTTCTAAACCCAGCTTGAACGTCTGGCAATTCCAGTGTTTTGTTATAGCCATTTTTGGAAGATTTTTGCCTTATTTTGCTTCTTTTTGTTGGTAGGTGTTGTTGAGTTGCATCTGCATAACAAAGGCTGTTGATGAGCTTCCTTCAATCTTGTTGCCACAATCTTCTTCATAAACTCTAGCTTCTAAAATGATTTGTTCAACATACAGATTGAACAGGTATGGAGAAAGGATACTGCCCTTACACACAGCTTTCTTGATTCTAAGCCACGCTTTTCCCTTATGCCCATGCTCTGTTCAGATAACAGCTTCTTGGTCTACGTTTTCATATGAACATAATTCTTCTCAACATTAGTTATAGTTTATCAAGATCCAGAAAAAAAGCTTCTGCATAGTCAATAAAACACAAATTAGACAATCTTGTAGTATTTTTCTGCTTTCAGCCAAGATCCATGCAGCATCAACAAAGATATCCCTGCTATCGAGGCCTCTTCTCAGCCCAACCTGAACTTCTGGCAGTTCTCTGTCAATGTACATACTGTGTTGGGAAAGTCTAATGTCAGGGACCTCTCCAAAGCTCTGTAGAGCAAAGGTGCACCTGATTCAAATTGTGATCTTTTCAGTTATTTGCTGCTTTTATTGTTTTTGTTAAGTGCTCTCAAGTGACTCCCTCTCATAGAGACCCTGTCAACAGCTCTAAAACCTGCTCTATCCTGTGCCAATTTCATCATCTTTGACACACCTACCCCCATAACCCCAGCCACTGAGGCAATCCACCTCATCCAGAGTCTTTCTCTCTTGCACTGTCCCTGTCCCTCCACCCTTCTAAGTATGATGTGCCTCTCTAAGGACTGGTACCTCTTTGCAACATGCTGAAAATATGTCAAATGGACCTTCAAAATCCTTGCTTCAAAGGATTCATGGTTTCACCCTCTCCAGGACAGGCCTGTTTGTTCTCTTAGCAGTTGATGGTATATTTAATACTCTTCCAGCACCACAATTCAAGGTATTGATTCTTTAATCATTTTCAGTCACGGTCCAGTTCTCTGATGCATATTTATTTGAGATTATATATATACGTTGTTGTTGTTATGTGCTGTCGAGTCGTTTGCGACTCATAGCGACCCTATGCACAACAGCCCTAAACCCTGTTCTATCCTGCGCCAACTGCACTGCCTCTGACACACCCATCCCGATTACCCCAGTCACTGAATCAATCCATCTCATAGAGGGTCTTCCCCTCCTGCGCTGTCCCTCCACCCTCCCAAGCATGATGTCCCTCTCCAAGGACCCGTCCCTCCTGGCAACATGTCCAAAGTATGTCAGACGAAGCCCCAGAATCCTTGCCTCCAAGGAGTAGCTTGGTTTAATCCTCTCCAAGATCTGTTTGTTTTCCTGGCAGTCCATGGTACATTCAGTACTCTTTTCCAGCACCACAGCTCAAAAGCATCCACTCTCCTTCTGTCCTCCCTAGTCATTGTCCAACTCTCTGATGCATAACAAGCGATTGCAAATACCATGGCCTGTATCAGGCACACCTTAGTCTCCAGAGAGACACCATTGCTCCTGAGTACTTTACAGAGGTCCCTAACAGCAGACTTTCCCATCGTGATACGCTTTTTGATTTCCTGACTTCTGGTGCCAAGAGTGTTGACTGTGGAGCTGAGCAAACTGAAGCTGTGAACAATCTCAATCTCTTCGCCATCCATCCTGACGCTGCCAATTGGTCCAGTGGTGAGAATCTTTGTCTTCTTGACATTGAGCCTCAGTCCATACTGAAGGCTGCAGTCCTTGACCCTTCGCAGCAAGTGCATGAGGTCCTCCTCAGTTTCAGCAAGCAAGGTTGTGTCATCTGCATAACGCAGATTGTTAATAGATCTTCCACCAATCCTGATGCCACAATTCTCCTCACAGAGCCCAGCCTCTCGGATAATCTGCTCTGCATACAGGTTGAAAAGGTATGGAGACAGGATATATATATATATATATATGATTTGGACAATGAAAAAGGATGACAGAAGAATCATTGTCTTTTGAGTTGTGGATTTGGAAAAAAATGCTGAATATCACATGGACTGCCAACAGGACAAACAAGTATGTCTTAGAAAAAGGCAGCTAGGCTGCTCCGTAGAAGCAAGGATGGTGAAACTTAGTCTCACATCCAATGGGCATGTTATCAGAAGGGGGTCAGTCACGCTGGGAAAGGTGGAAGGTCAGTGAAGGAGGGGAAAATCTTCCATGAGATGGACTGAGTCAGTGAGTGTCATGATGGACCCGAGTGTGTCAGAGATGAGAACGCCACAGGATAGGGCAGGTTCAGATCCATTATTCACAGCATCACTGAAAGTGGCAGTTGATGGAAAAGCACTTACCACCATCACCACAGCAGAGCTTGAGAGAATGGGATTGAGCATAGCAGAGCTTGAGACATGGTGAGGGACACGGAAAGTTTCATCTGTTGTGCACAGGATCTCTATGGCTCTGAGTCAGAGGGAGGGGTTCAGATCGACTGTTCACAGAGTCCCTATGAGTTGTAGATAACTAGACGGTATCTAATAACAAAAGCCATTCCACTTTGCTTTAGGATTATCTGCTTATATACTTTCTTATAATCAAAACTCAAAACTCATGGCCACCTAACTCATAAGGTCCCTCCATCATATTTTCCTGCCTTGTAAATCAGACAGAGGAGACTGCCCATCTTTCTCTGCTGCTGAATTCAAACCACAGGACAGGCAGCCTTCTGAGTTAGCAACCCAACTCTTAAGCCACAAGAACTCACCTAAATTGTAGGCTATCTTTGATATCATTAAGATGAAACACACAAACAAAAACCAAGGCTTTGATAGTTGTATCTGACTTTAAAAAGTAATAACCCACTACTCATTTGATCTCACAGCCAGTGGAGTTAGAACTCACAGTTGCTCCTCTGCTGGATTTCCGACACAGTGTCCATCTTTCCTCCTCTCAACTGCAGGTGGATTCCAACCGCCAGAGAAAGGCAGGGTAACTCCCTACAGATTGCACCAGAGCTCACTAATTGGATATTTTTTTTCTAATGTCATTAGTAAACGCTTGATCAGTCTTTTCTCAAACCGTGACCCACTGACTCCGTGTATCAGATTCTCCGGGGATGTGTGTGTTAAAAAATGCGGGTCCATGGACCCCTTGGGAGAGCTCTGGTGGCCTAGCGGTAAGGAGTTGCGCTGCCAAAGGCACACGATTCGAGAGCCAGCCCACAACGAGCAATCAATCACCTCACTTGGGACTAACTGCCTCTGAAAACCCTCGGAGGGTCAGCTGTGAGTCTGTGCCAATTCAACAGTAAAAAATAACAACAGCAATAGACACTCTTTCATCAGCCAAAATGCCTGTTCTCTGCACGGTAAAATACAGGCAAGGGCTAGAATATCCTGGCTAGCTACACATAAACAAGAGGCAGCAGCGGAGTTGGTACCTAAGTTTACTTCCATTTTTAAGAGACGTTCCCTGCGATAGAGTCCTTATTCTGAGGATCTAAACAAGTGAAAACTCCCTGAAATGGAATGGAATAGAGTTTTTCTCCTTTTAGAAGTCAAGCGTCCCAGCGCGAGGAAACAGGAACTGAAGATCTCCAAGAAGCATGGGACCTCGACACACACATTTGTAGGAGATGCTCCAGGAGGATGGCCATGTCTCGGCTCGCCCCGCAACAAGGGCGGGCCAGGGACCCAGAGGCAGCCGGAGACGAGCGACTGCGGCTGGTCAGCGAGTGTCCAAACCCAGGGTGGACCGCGGAGTCTCGCCACGCAAGACAGGGCAGCGCTCATGGAGTTCCGGGACCGACGTCGTCCTTCTCCAGAGCCCGTCACCCTGGTCCACCCCAAGCCGACACGGTCGCAGTGCTTTCGCCCAGATCATAGCAGGGAAGGAGGAAAAGGCAGGCAGGGTCGTGCAGATGGCAGCCGAAAGGGCGGAAAGAAACCAAGTGCAATGAGGTGCCTCCGCTTCCCACCTGCATCGAGCTCCAGCTGGTAACAGGGCAGCGGTTCGAGAGACAGCTTGTAACCCTCGAAGCGGGGATCCAACAGAGGTCTCTTCACCCGCAGGGAGCAATTAGCCGCTACTTCCATTGCCAGTTTCAAGTTCCCAGCTTCAGAATTAATAAAGCTCTTGTTGAAAGCTCCGCGATTCACTCCTCACTCCGAGGCTAGGAAACGGCGTGGTTCCCATCCCAGGAAGCACCGCGGCGCGCAGGGCCTTCTGGGAAATGTAGTACCCGTGAGAAAGGCGGCCAGGTTGCATGCTGGTCTTTGTAGTTTTTTGGAGACTCAACACCTGCGCAGCACGAACATCTGGACTCCCTTACCCAGAAGGCCGAGCGGCCAGGAGGCGGCCCGCGCTGGTTGAATTTTCACATTATAGGCAGGGAGGCCAGGTCCCGCCCCGGAAATGCGTGTTCTAGCGCTCTATGTGCTTCGGTGCCCGAGCTACTGAGGGTCTAAGTCTGGGCAGCCGAAGAGTGTGGTAGGTAACCGTCGTCAGCGCAAGGGTCATTTCGTCGCTGGGAAGGGACGGCCCTCGCCCGCGGTGATGGTGGTGAGCTATGCCCGTGGTCCTCGGGGCCGGGACCCGGGCCCGGCCCAGGCTCCTTTTGATGTGCTGTCTTGCGTTAGCGTCCCCGACCCGCGCTCGCGGGCCTGTAGGGCTCTCCGACAGGGCGTGCTCCCGGAGCTGGCCTCGAGCCAGTCCTCGCTTTGTTTCCTGGCTCCTCCCCTCCCGCTCTCCCGCTGTCTCCGCCCTGTCTCTATTTCCCCCTCGAGAACGTCTCTGCTGGGAGGGATCGGGGCAGTCCCCTAGTGCCCGCCTTTTACTCGTGAGAAAACTGAGGCCTTGAAAGCTTTAAGTGACTTGTCCAAGGTCACTTTCCGTAATTGAGGGGCTGAGACTGAAATCCAGCCCAACATTCCAGCCGGGCGCTGACTCCGCCGTGGTGTTTTCAAAGCTGTAGCTGCTTCTAAGCACTCAGTGTTTCCTGCTGCTTTCTTAAACCGCATTTCTCCATCCTGAAAAAAGTAGCGTAATTATTCAACTCGGAAAACTCCTTGCCAGTCTGAGTTTTCACCTAGGTGAATTGGAAGACAAAAATACAAGTTCAAGTAGGAACCCTTAGTTTACTCTGAGTTTTATTTTGTGTACATTTTTTTAATGCTTTTTCTTTTGTCCAGTTATCTGATCACCTTTTTGTACATCGTTTTGGTTTTGATCGTCTGCTTTAATTTGGCTTCCTTTTTTTCAATTGGAAATGGAGCATTTTCCAAATTAAACGTTAGTTTGGCTCGGTTTTCCCCCTACCCCAACAAGTTTTCATTCATAGAGAGTTTATGTATCAGCTACAACTAATTTAGCAGTTAAATTTCAATCTGGATACAATCTGCTACTGTTGTTAGCAAGTGCTGTCAGTGTACAACTACAGTTCTGAAACCTGCTCTATCCTGAGCCAATTTCATAGTCTCCGGCCACACCTACCCTCATTACCCGGGTCTCTGAATCAGTCGGTCTTACCCAGGGTCTTCCTCCCTGGCTCTGTCCCTCCACCCACCCGAGCATGATGTTCCTCTCTAAGGACTGGTCCCTCTTGGCAACATGCCCAAAAAGAGGTGATCTGAAGATTTCATTTTTTTCAATCACTAGTTTACCTTTTATTGATTTTTTTCTTTAAATTTTATGGTTCCCCTAAAATTCATAATTAAGATACATATGGTTAGCAATTCATTGTAAAGGGCAGTTAAAATGTTTGGGGATTTCTGGGATCCAAGTGCCTGAATTTAAGTCCTATCTTAACCACTTCCTGTGCCTCAGTTTCCTCACCTGTAAAATACAAGTTATTATTAATATTTATGTAACATTGTTCTGGGAATTAAGTGAGTTTATTAAAAAAAAAAAAACTAACTCAAACACCTCAGAGTACCTACTTTACCCCTCTATGGAATGTAGGTATCTAACGTTATTATCTAGACTCATAAATACAGAGGGAGAAAAATGTTAAGCAAGCTAGTTCATTAGTATAATCTCTTGGGATATAGTAAATAATATTAATAATACTATTGTTAACACATAGTTGTAAAAATTTAGCACCCCTTTAGTTGGTAGACAGAATGTTAATTTTGTCAGGATGCTTGCATAGGGGATGTAGAAGAAAACAGTATTTTATATCTGAAATGTTGATATTCAGGTTAGCAAGATGAACAAAGATGCGCAGATGAGAGCAGCAATTAACCAAAAATTGATAGAAACTGGAGAAAGAGAACGGTAAGTATTAGATTATGTTAATAAATAACATTTTACCAGCTTTAAGCTAGGAGGTGGTGGTGGTGGTGGTGGAGGTGGTGATGGTGGTGGAGGAGGTGGTGGTGGTGGTGGTGATGTGCCATCAAGCTGACTATAATTCATAGTGACCCTCTGAGCAACAGCTCTGAACCTCACCCTATCTGAGTCAACTCCACCATCTCTGGCATGTCTGACTCCATTTACCACTGTCACTGTGTCAAGCTATCTCATCCAGGGTCGTCGTCTTTTGTGCTGACCTTCTAACCTTCCAAGCATGATGTCCCTCTCCAAGGATTCACCCTTTCTTACTATATGCCCAAAGGATGAGAGGCAGAGTTTCCAAATCTTTGCCTCCAAGGAGGCAACAACAACAAATATCTCTAAGCTATAGTAATACAATTTAAATATCAAGAAAAAAACTCATGTTACTGCAGAGAAAAGAACAATTGGGATTACCATACTCTTCAGCTCCTCACATGTATGAAAGGACATTTAGGTCTATCCAGTATTGCAAAACTTGACAGTGAGTGAGTTGTGTTGACAGTTAAGCTAGAAATTACTCTCCCTTAAAGAATATATAGCTAATAGAGAAGAAAAGTAGGTATCGAATAGCAACAACTTAAGACAGAATGTTTGCAGAAGCTAATCTTAAATCCCTGAAACATCCTTTTATCTGGTTCTGCTACCTCCACCTCATCTTTCATATCCTACTGTAGATCCCACCTCTTCCAGGAATCTGCTCCATATTTGTCCCCTCACAATATTTGGTCTCATTGTTTTGTTGTTGTTGTTAAGTGCCATCGAGTCGCTTGTGACTCATAGTGACCCTATGTACAACAGCCCTAAACTCCGCTCTGTCCTGTGCCAATCGCACTGTCTCTGACACTCCCATCCCGATTATCCCAGTCACTGAATCAATCCACCTCATAGAGGGCCTTCCCCTCCTGCGCCGTCCCTCCACCCTCCCAAGCATGATGTCCTTCTCCAAGGACCAGTCTCTTCTCACAACATGTCCAAAGTATGTTAGACGGAGCCTCAGAATCCTTGCCTCCAAGGAGCCACCTGGTTTAACCCTTACCAGGATGAATGTGTTTGTTTTCCTAGCAGTCCATGGTATTCTCGATACTCTTCTCCAGCACCACAGCTCAAAGGCATCAATTCTCCTTCTATCTTCCTTGGTCATTGTCCAACTCTCTGATGCATAACAAGTGATTGCGAAGACCATGGACTGTATCAAACGCACCTTAGTCTCCAGATAGACACCATTGCTCTTCAGTACTTTGTAACAGCAGACTTTCTCATGGCAAAAGTGTGTGTGTGTGTGTGTGTGTGTGTGTGTGTGTGTGGTCACATTGTATCTCCCTGTTTTGCTAATTTGTGTCCCCCAGTAGAATGTATTGCCAAGAATTAGAAACACAGTTGTATATCCAGCATTTATAGGTAAACCAGGCACATTATTGACCAAGTGATATTTGAAAACTGAATAATTTAGAAATACAAAGGAGAGACTAAGGAATCAAGAAGGGTTTCCTGAAAGCAGGGCGATAAAGTGCATAGTAAAAATATACAGAAGGGACAAAAGAGATCCCTCATTTCTTTGGAGGATTTCAGATGATGAGGCATGGACTCATGGTGTTGTAAAAGAATTCCTCTGGGATAGAAGTTTTGACGCTTCTATGGGCCAGTAAATAGAAGATGACATTTTAGGCAGGTGGAGCAGAATGTTGCACAACCAGTGGTTAGGTAACAACATGATCATGTTCTAGGAGACTGCTGATAATAAGAAAAAGTGAGAGAACCTTGTAGCTAAAACAGTGGGTGGGAGTCAGATTCTTTTTGTACCACAGGAAGGAATATGAATTTTGTATGTCTCAGAATTCTCTCATTGAAAGTGACAGAAACTGGTTTAACCTATGAAAGTGTTTCTCCTTATATAACTGAAACAGTGAAAATGTTTATCCTTATATAACTGAAAATGTCCAGGGCTCTAAAAGACTTTTGGTGCCACTGTATCCCAGCACTCACAAATTGTGACCTCAAGATGATGTTTCTTTTCCTCTATGCTAACATTATTGTCAAGCAAGTTCTACCCACAGAATGGCAGACTTGGCCAACAACAATTCAAAATTTACCTCATACAGTCTCAACAAAGGGATCTGGTGGCCTAGTGGTAAGAAATTCCACTGTCCTAAGGCCCCCATGGAGTTTGAATCTACCAGCTGCTCCATGGGAGAAGGATTGGCAGTATCTTCCTGTGCAATGTACAGCCTTTGAAAGCCTGCTGGAAGGTCAGCTGTGGGTCATTTCTGACTTGTTGGTACACAACAGCAGCATCTCTACAAGCACTAGGCTGACTGCCATCACTTCATGTAATAGGAGAGCTGTGGTCAACTTTGTGGGATTTCACATTTCCATACCTAGAAACGTACCTAGATTACACTGAGTGGTGGCATTTCTTTCCCTCTCAAAGAAAGACTAGGAAAATAAAGTGGGTGGTGAGGTTTTCAGAAATATTTGTTGTTATTTTTATCCTTGAATGGTGGGAGGCTTTAAAAGATCTTGAGAAAGGGAATGGCTTGATCATATTTACAGTCTTATTCTGGCAGTGCGTAGAATAGATTTGCAGGGGTCAAGATAAATGAAAGGAAAATAAGGTAAAAGATTGTTGCTATTGTCTAGTTAGAACCAACTTACCACTGACCCTTCAGTGGGTTTTCAGAGGCCGTAATCACATAAGAGGATATTGCCCATCTTTTTCCCTCAAAGCTAAAAGACTATTAGGTTAAAAATACATGAAAATAGAAAAACTAAAAAGGAAAAAAATAATTTACAGCCCTCCATAAGAGGAATGAGAAGAAGGCACCTAGAACAATGCCTTGAGTAACTGAGAGGATCCCACTACCTTGAAATTGATT